CACACACACACACACAATACTGTATCCTTTTTTGGGGGGGTCAGGGGGTCATATCTAACTGCTGCTCCTCAGGATACACCCACCCCCTCCCTGCCCTGCCCTGACACTTTGTTTTTTAATCCCTCACTCGACAATATCTTCATCTTCCTTTTTCTGGTCTATCCTTTCCCTTGCGTTTCTCCTCTTATTATTGCTCTTTTTATTTCTCTCATCCATGTTCTGTCTTTCTCCATCTATTTTCTGTCTTTCTCCATCCATTTTCTGTCTGTCTCCATCTATTTTCTGTCTCTCTCCATCTATTTTCTGTCTCTCTCCATCTATTTTCTGTTTTTCTCACTGTCATCTCCAACCGCCTTCAATCTTTCCTCTTCGCCTACCTCCTCATGTACTTCTCACTCTTTTCCTCCTATTCATCCTTTTGATCCTCTTTTTCCACATGTTTTTTTTTTTTTTAATATTTGATGCCCTCTCCTCTGCCAATTCCATTTACCCATCTCCCACACTCCACCCCCTCTCATTCCCCTCCCCTTCCTCTTACACTATCTTTGATACTTTCTCCGGTTCTATTTCTAAGAGGTTACTTTGACTCTTTGACGATGTAGGGGATTTATTACAACATTAATATTCATAAGAGCATCTGAGGATTCCACCCAATGGCTTTCCTGCTTTGGGCTTGGCTCTGGCTGCTTGCTTGTTTTCTTTTCTTCCAAATGTTGCGCTAATGTTATTTTTGCAACCCAATACTGTAGATCTACTGCTATTCAAAGATCATATTTGCTTTTGGGGGTTGGGGTTTTTTTGTTCCTTGTTGTTGTTGGTTTTTTGGGGGGAGGGGGGAGGAGCGGGTTGGGGTGTTGTTTGTTGTTGTTCTTTGCTTTGGCTATTGCCGTGTCTGCTAAAGAAATGGGAAAGAAGAAAAGGAGGAGGGGTAGAGGTGGGTGGACTGAAATCCCAGACTGATTTATGCTGAGCTAAGACGTTTTGAAGATGGCTGGAGAGGGGTCTGGATGGCCATGGTGAAAAGATGTTTTATAATATATTATAAGAAAAATAATGTTTATCTCCGTGTTCATTGTGCTTTTACACAAAGCTGGGGACTTCATTTGACAACGACTGTTGTGTGCTTCGCCTACCATTATCTTCCACACCCCTGCAGGGTAATGCTATTGTATTGTTACTTTGAAAATTTCATAAATTTGATAAATACATTGTATCTGCTTATCTGCAAAACCACGAGGACATGGACAGCTCCCTTTCTCGTAGCATTCACTGCTGTGCTCTCACGGTATTTTCTCTTGTATTTTTGTGTCTATAGAAACTGTATTTGTTATTTGATAAATGTTTGTAATGGTCGAGTATGGTTGATGATAGCTCAGAGTAAGTCTGATCTCATGCAAAAGGTGTTGTAACTTACTGGGAGTCGGAATCCTGTTGTGTCACTTTAAGTCCCATCAGTGCTGAAGTTAAGGTGTTTTTAAGATATGATCTCAGTGAGTACGTTAAGGCAATAATGGTGATGATGCAGATACAGACTTCTGAAAAGGCATCATTGTGGTCTTGAATAAGCCTGCGTTAATTAAACATTGAGCCATTTTCTTTAAAGCAATTTGTTAAAATCAAGCTACAGATAATTTATACTCTGAAACTATTCAGGACTTTCGTCTTTTTTCTTTCAATTTTACCATTGTTATGATGATGCTGATGTTTGGGTCCATATTCATAATGCCATTAGATTTAGTTTAGTTATTCAAATGGTTCTTTTTTCAAAGAAGGATCACAGTATATGGGTTAGAATTATCGTCAATGGTCTGAGAGTTAAGAGTACTAGTAGCCCTACTGCAGAAGCTTCAAATGTTCTAAATCTTGGATTTTGTGTAAATCTATGTGGTACTTATGCATGTATTCTCAAAAGTTGTGTAAAGTCTAAGCAAGCACCGATGTGGTTTTCCTGTATGTGTGGGGAGAGATAGAAGAAACGGGAGGGCGGGGATACAGGGACGGAGGAGGGGTTGAGAGAGGGCGGGCGGAGGGGGGAGAGAAAGGAGAAAGAGATAGAAAGGGTGTGTGTGTGTGTGTGTGTGTGTGTGAGGAGGGTTAATGAGCCGAGAACCGGAGGAGGAGGAGAAGGAGGAGGAGGAGGAGGAGGAGGAGGAAGAGGGGAAGGGGAAGGAGAAGGAGAAGAAGAAGAAGAAGTGTTAATAATGTAAAAACAATGCCGGATGAAATTTCACTTCATGAAGATAAATAAATTAGTATATTATGTTATGCTAAATACTGCTGTGACACCTCTTGCAACCATCAAAGAACATGTAAACCATGCTAAACCCTCA